CTTGCCTGCACCACTTGACCACTTGCCAACCTTCTAGAAGGACTGCAGCTAGCCTTCTAGTCTATAGGTCTACGGATCGAATCCTGGCTACCTATAGACCTACGACAGACCTACCTACCACTGGCGGTTCTACAGGTCGCAGGTTCAACTCTTCGAGTTGCCGCAGGTATTGTACACAGGTAAGTTGGGGAACTAGGGATCGACCCCTTGGATCTACCTCAGCTACCACGAATTGGTGAATACCGTTTCAATCATGCCCTTTTTAATAAGTTTTTAGAAGTTTTTATTAACTTTTTAAGGCATTACTTCCTCGCGTGCTTTCAGAGGACCACACGCAGTAATGACACACAGTTGAGTTCTTTCTGGAACAAAAAAAGTAAACGAAACAAAACAGACAAGCAAAAGGCTTTCTTGGCAGTGCACTCTCACCAAGTTTGTGTTTGTTTCACATAGCAGGTTGCGTTGATCCCTGCCGTGAAGTTCGGATCAGGTGCCATACCAGTCTCATTGTTCACCTGTAAATGACGGCAAACCTCATCAATAAGACATCGACATCACAAAGCTCTGCAACAGCAAGACCGTTCGCATCACGACCTCTGCAAATTTGGACACCTTCGACTCCATGAAAAGTGGGAGAAACCAGTTCTCTTATCCTCATTAACAACACCAAGACTCTCAAAAGTGACAGAAATCCATTCTCCTTCCATTGTCAAACCACCAGTCCAACCACAGTCAAATCGACAAACCAAGAAGTGCTTTCTGCTGAGCCTGCAATCTGAAGTGCACGTCATTGTTTTCTTCGACGGACGTACGGTTGCCAGCCTACGTTGAAACTGAACTGCTGTATAAAGAAAAAGGGAAGAAAAAAAACAAATCGAGATCCATGATGTCGGGGAAGGCCCTCACTGAAGGCATACTCACACTAGTATTTTCCAGAATGTACCTGATCACTATAACAGCCAAAACTTTATTGCTGCGTTTCTCTCTTGTTTTCCATGCCAGCAAGGCAGGGCGTATTCCACGTTCTTCAGAGTCTTGCTCTCATCTGTATTGTTGGTAAACTCAGAATCCGTGCCTCGGCTCGAACCCCGCCTCCAGCAGTAAATATGTGTCGTCATATGTTCGTCGTACGGAACTCCACAAAGAAAGCATGACTCTGCCAGACTGTTTCATCGTTCCCACATGCAGGTGTGCCACCCACACACCACATTTCCTTTTCCAAACCCTAGCAACGACACACACACCAAATCCTTTCCCCATTCTGCAAACATTTTCTCCTGGAAGCGATCGAGATATCCGTACAGCTCTCTTAAAGCTTATCAACACAGCAGTTTTAAAACACGCACCGCGACAAAAGAAACCAAACCACCACACGATATCCGAACAGCTCTCTTAAAGCTTATCAATACAGCAGTTTTAAAACACGCACCATGACACAAGAAACCAAACCACGACATCAGGTTTGAAAACCCCGCCAGGCACACTCCAAAAAGGAAAACCCAAGCACCAAACAAACGAATACAAAACACGTAACACACCACCTTTTGACACCACAGTCAACACAACACAAAATCTGCGGAGATTTCGCATTAGCTTATTGGCCACCTCCCTGCTCTGACATTGTCAGAGGTAAGGTACTAAAACCAAAAGTGAGCGATCCGTTTTGACACTACTATGTGTCCACAAAACAACATCAAGCGTCAGTCTGTGTCAAGACAACGTGTTTCAAAACCGCTTGTGAGTTGAGAAAACTTATGTTTTCGGCCAGCGATCAGGAGATCAGAGCCGGAAAACTTACGTTTTCAGCCACCAATCATGAGATCAGATAGCTGTGCGCACCCCCACGGCTTGGCATGCCTAAAGGGTCTGCAGCTGATAAACATTAAACAACCAGTATGCCCAGCTATCGGCCACGGGCCCTTTTCGGAGGCCGCCGACCGCCGGTTCAATTTATCTACGGCTCTGGCCCTCCGAAAATTTTGTAGGCGGCGAGTTTTGTTTTCAGCAAGGCTGGGGCCATGTAAGAGAGTTGTATTGATAATTTCAGTCATGCATGCCCACTGGATAACTGAAAATCAGCAAGCAACGAGAGTGCCAAAAATGAAAACCAAAGGATGAAAAAGGGGATTTTGACTCTTTTGAGGATTGGAGGGGGCATTTCATGTAGTCAATGGAAGAGAGTTTTTTTTTTTTTTTTTTTTTTTTTTGTTAATACCTAGCCAACCTATATTTCAGTGATCAGCATCACCTGCTGGAAACCCGGTCGTGCTATCCGCCACAGGACAATATAATTTTCAACAGCACCAAGACAAAGCAATGAAACAAACCGTAGACCTGTTTGCATGTGCTTGCACCAACCCACTGAAAGGGGGCTCCTAATGAGCAAATGAAACTCTTCTTTCAATACATTAAGGTCATACTCAAAGCTAGGACTTTTCACATCGAATCTGGCCTTGTTTGCAAGAAAATACATCCAAAAAAGCCATGACCTGCGCTGATTTCAAGGAGTTTCAACCAAAGCATCTTTACCTTACTGACAAGGGTTTCAAAAGTGGCCTGAGGCAGAAAGCTGGAATCTGTTGCAGGGTCAACGTACGCAGAGAAACTTTCTGTCTGCTCAGCTTTTCCAACACACCATTGAGTTACTTGTATCAGAAACTTTGACCTGTGCTTCACCAAGCAAAACGGACATAAGACAAACAAACAAAATCATGAGCTCCAGGAGATTTATGATCTCTGTTTACCTTGTGAAACACCCAGAAATCTTGTTTTGAACGTCATAACGAGTCCAGCGTCAAGAACACACACACACACACACACATAGAGTGAAAGTCCAACGAAACAGTCTGTCACAGTCTTGCTTTTTCGTGGAGTTGTGTACAGCAAACATTACAAAACACACATGAAACGAACATGGGTAATAACAAAACTACCCACAATGCCACAGGATTCAGCATGCCATCCTCTTCGCCAAACTGTGGCCTGTTCTGATATGGGTTGCTCCTTGGAGACGATGCTACTGTGTGACAGTTCGAAACCCGCAGCAGTGTTTGTAAGCCTGGGAAAAACAGGACTTGGGGGAAAGAACTTGCCAGCAGTCATGGTCAGCAATCATCTGTCACACAAGATCTCCACTTCTGAATTACTGGTAAATGATCAGGTACTTGTCTTGTCTCAAAGAGCTGTAACTTGTACAAAACCCGGTTTAACAGAACCAGTGAATCCTTTTTCTTCTTTTTTTTTCAGTCGAAAGACTCGAAATAGGTCCTGATGACCTGGACGCACACAAGAGTCAGTCAAGCATACTTACTACAAAGTACAGCTGAGCATAAACCGGATGTATGTTGCATTATTTTCACACAATTCCACCCTGTACAGTCGACCTGAAGCCATGCAAGCCTGTGAGTACTCGATATATCTACGACCTCAGGAATGAACGCTCCCCGTCCTTCGAGACATCCGTTAGAATTGGAACGATACAGAGAAGATTAGCATGGCCTCTGCACAAAGATGACACACCGAGAAAAAAAAAAAAAAAAAAACGAATGCGCACTCCCAACGAGAACAAAAACAACAGAGCAAAGCAAGGAAACAGCGAAATGAGGGGGAAGAGCAGATCGCGCACGCCAGGAACCGTACTCACGCGAGTTCAGGAGTCGTTACATTCACAATTGGTGTGTACAGTGTAGGACCATTCTGAACCTCCTCTCTGGGGGAACCGAAGATTACAACCCCGCTAAAATTTGCGCCAGCACTTGCATTCAGGCACATGCTCAGAATCGGCGAGAACTTCAACGTGCCAATCATAGCTTTAAAAAAGGAATTTGGAGATCGAGTTAGGCTCAGCGCTCCATCTGAAACCGTATTCACCACGGGCCCTTCAGCAGCAATGGTACACCTGGATAACGCACAATTACAAAGCGGTATGGTTCAGAAATGATCAATGTTCTGTCAACTTCACCGTTAAGAAATTTACAGAGTACTGAGAGTAGCCAAAAGAACAGACACGAGATGCCTAGAGAGTCGAGATATCAAGTAGCAGCAAGAAATTCAAAGGAGATTTAGTCTGATTTACAGAAACCGAGATATTGTAGAGAATTCAGCAACAACAAATTCAACAAACAAGCTGTCCTCTCCTACCTCACTTCTCCTCGATAAAGCTCAACAGAATTAAATAAAGAAGAAACAAGAACCGGGCACCACTTCAGCAATGGAGATACCGCAGAGAATCCAGCAACCGAGTTAACAACACATTCAACTAACAAGCAGTCCTTCCTGGCTTACTTCTCCTCAACAATCACTCCTCCATTTCCACTGCACAGCTCAACAGAAGCAGAAAAAGAAGCAAAAACTGGGCACCACTTCCACCCATTCTCTCTCTCCTCTCTCTCTCTCTCTCTCTCTCTCTCTCTCTCTCTCTCTCGGTGTGTGTGTGTGTGTGTGTGTGTCTGTGCTACTCAAGGCATCAAATCCCTGCATGTCAGGTGTGGACCACAACACAAGAGATCTACTCTCCCTCCTGTAACTCAGAAGTGCTTTCTGCCTTCCGCAGGCCTGCACAGTCTCTATTACAACAGCACCACACCAGGCCAGACGAGGGCCATGCATGTGTTCCTGTCCACTATAACCAGGGAGCTTCCTCCTCCTCTGCCTAGCAACAACATGCAAATGCCCTCGACTCATCTTCCTGCCTGCCCTTCTCCATGATTGTTCACAGTCTTTTATGCCCTTTGCTGGCCCCCAAAGGAAGCTTCCCATCCTCCTTCCATTCTACCTAGCATACTCTCCCTGGTACCGGGTGTCCAGCCTGCCCAGATTCATAAGAGAGTACTGATGCTGCAGTTAAGTCTGCTAGCTTGCTCAGATTCGGTCATATCCCACTCTATGTTGTCCAGATAGATCCTGTACCTGTCTCCTAACTTACAGAAGTCTATCAGTTCAGTCCAACGTAGAGCCACTGGGGACCCCCACCAGCCTCCGACAGACTTGCACGGCCTGTACTGTCCAATTGCCAAGTCCGTCTGTCAGTAAGTTTACGATAACATTGTTGTCCGTTAGACACAAATTTCGGTGTTGACAATCAAAGTTAACAACATTTGCAGATACGGCTCTGATTGAGAGTCGACAGAACACGACCACACAAGATTCGTGTCAAGACATGTCACACGTCTCGATTCAGTAATTGGAGGACGATGAGAAAGAGCACAGAGGACATTGGACGACATATGCATACCGAATGATACATGCACAACAGATCGGTCGCTCAAGGGGTCACTGTTCGCCGGTCAGGAGTCTCATCCACAGACAGAGAGAGAGTTGATAATTATTTTTCCACCTCGTTTTCTTTCTCAATGATAGAGAGAGACTGGAGAGAGGGAGAGAGGGAGAGTCACTTTTTCCCGAGATTTACCCCCCTGGTCAGAACTGAGACATTTTATTATTGTTTAAGCCTTTAAGGTGACTAAAAGGAGGAGGATGTTGTTCGAGAGCAGACAGATTATTTATCGGAACTGCCATATTTCAGTTTCTTCTTCTCCTCCGTCACTTCTTCTCTCACCTGCCTTCATCCCTGCATGCTAAGCACGGCAGTTCAATGTACGTGCAGTCACCCTTTTGTGCAACTGATTTCTCTCCTTTTCTTCTACGGAACGAGGAAGGTTGGACACTTTCTGAGTTCAGACACGTTTATTTCTGCTTTAAAGGTCATCATTCATCTGTCTTTTGACTGTCGTGCAATATGACCCTCACAACTGACTGTCTGAGATTCCCGAAATTTCTGAGAAAATGGGGTTCTTCTGGTCTGTTTTCTGTGCCTTCCACGTCTGAGTCTGATCTGCTGTGATTCGCTGTGTTTGGAAACCAAAATTTCTGAGAAAATGTGGTTCTTCTGGTCTGTTTTCTGTGACTTCCACGTCTGAGTCCGATCTGCTGTGATTTGCTGTGTTTGAGAAAGTGTGTGTGTGACCTTACCACTAACGTGTGTTATGATTCTGGTTGTCTGTTGTCTGAAGACCAACACTCACTCACATACTCCCAAGTATGCCCATACATACACAGAAGGAAGGGGAGAGGATAGGAGTATCGCACCACACAGGGAGAGATAAACACAGCGGAAGACTTGACCATGCGATATGACAGGCTACACTGAAAGTGCAATTTACTCCACTCAATCCTCACAACCAGTCATAAAGGAAAGCCAAGTAGATCACATCCAGAAAACAATGAAACGATGATAGTCACACACAGTATACACACTGTTTATTAAACTCAGAGTCTCAAATTGAAATTGTCAGAATAACCACAGAACTATGGTGCGCTGCTCAGAAATGAGCAGCGCTTCACTCCCCAACCCTGATGAACCGCTATTACTACCCCTGAGCCCCTGAAACATCAAGTGCCACCCAGATACAGCCTCCAGAGGGAAGCGCCACCCTGAAACAGGCCTCTGAGGCCAAGCGCCACTCAGAGGATGAAGAAGAAGACCAGCGCCACAGTATCTGATGATGACGAAGTGTCAGAAGACTTCCCGGGTGGAAGTCTGCAGCGGCGCCACCACTCCTGACAAGATGACCTCTGAGGAAGAAGCTGCAGCTATGGCTGCAGCGCCACACGCTGTAACCCCTACTCCCGAGGAAGGTCCAGCAGGGCACCAACTTCTCTCGCCTCCAGCAGACTCCGAATAGCCCTGACCTCTGTACAGCCCCGCGTGCTGACAGAGTACAGCGCAGGTCCCAGCTATGGCCGGCGCTCCAAAGGTCTTGCTATGCCTGTCTCCCACAACGCTGAGCCGTTATGACGAAGTGTCAGAAGACTTCCCGGGTGGAAGTCTGCAGCGGCGCCACCACTCCTGACAAGATGACCTCTGAGGAAGAAGCTGCAGCTATGGCTGCAGTGCCACACGCTGTAACCCCTACTCCCGAGGAAGGTCCAGCAGGGCACCAACTTCTCTCGCCTCCAGCAGACTCCGAATAGCCCTTACCTCTGTACAGCCCCCCGTGCTGACAGAGTACAGCGCAGGTCCCAGCTATGGCCGGCGCTCCAAAGGTCTGGCTATGCCCGTCTCCCACACCGCTGAGCCGTTACCATTTCCAGTTCACGCGTTGCACAGCCGCGATGTACTCGGTACCAACTGCCAAAGGTCATCAAACGATGTACCCAACCTATCTATAGCTACACTAGCCAAGACTGACCTAGACCGGACTGACTGGACCGACCGGTGTTTCGGCCTCTAGGCCTCTACCTTACCCGGCTATGGGCTATAGGACCGTCTATCAGCTTAGGCCCTTAGGGCTTGTCTGTCCTAGGGGTAGCCCTGGCCTGCTATTCGCAGTCAGGGTAGCTGTGGGAATTCTGGTTAGTATGGGCCTATATTTTCCCAAATTTGCAGATATGTACCCAACGAATTTCCTTACAGTCACATCTCTCGGTTAGCCCTCAGCCAATTTCGAATCTATCCTACAGATAGTACAGCCTCGACAAGAGAGAGGCTACAGACGACCAGAAACCAGCAAGTCATTGCACGTGTATGTGTCATGTGCTTGTCTGGGTCCGTGTGCTAACTCTGCTGGCTGTATGTGTGTGGCTGTGCCTTGGAATAGGGACAAGGTAGGAAAAGAGAGATGGCCAGGGGCAGGGCTGAAAGTAAGAAGCAGGATATGATGGGGGGTAGCTCAGCACCAAGGGACAGAATTTGAATTGCCTAGGGAACCAACAGGGGCTTTCTAGCAATTTGGCAGGGTCTGGAAAGGTCAGGTAGCTCACCTGTAGGTAATTTTAGTCCAGGGCCTGAATTTAGGCAGGACGTAGACTAGGTTCAGGGAATGTAGGTAGGTTTCAGACTGCAATGATGTTCCCGCCAAAAGGAGGGAACGCCCAGTAGACATGGTGCAACCAAAAGAGGCAGGTAGAGGCAGGTCCTACCAGGATGATGTACTGGAGGCCGAGGACGTACCAAGTATGCCATTCAGTATACTGACTGAGTCCCACCTCTTATGACATTCACTCCGCAATCACACCGCTGCTCCGCCAAGGGGAAGAAGTGGCGGAACTCCTGGAAAGAGCAGGTGGAGCTGTTTCATTGTAGTGGTTTGACTAGCCAACAATGGCGACAATTGAAGAATCTTTTATATGTCACTCATGGTCAAACTTTGTTTCAACCAAGTGCTTTCTCTTCGACCCTTCATGATAGCGCAGGACCTACCTGTATTTTGTACTTGACTGACTCTTGCGAGCCTCCAGGGTAATCGTGAAGACCTTATGTAGTAGTAGTAAGGTGGAAGCAGTCCCAGGCTATGGAGGTGAGGGAGAAGGGACCTCTAGCTAGGCTATGGAGCAGAGGTTGGAGGAAGGAGGTGGGAAACGGGAAGGAGACTCATCTTTGGCTATGGCGGACTTGGATCTTAATCTCCAAGTTTTCTGCTGCAGCTAGAAGGCCCCTGAAGGGGGTACCGGTAGGTCGAGTACTTAATCTGGTAAAGTAGGCTTGGCAGGGGAGAGAGAACAGTAGGAGGTCAACAGGGGACTCTTTATGTTGCGGGCAGTAACCAAGTGATCGAACATTTGATCCGGGCTCTTCATTCATCACTGTTAACCATTATCTATAATAAGATAATGGTGGGACAATGAGGGGAAGATGGGGACAAGGTGAGGAAGAGATGACATTGGTTTCAGCTTGTGCTTATCTTCTTCTTCTTCTTCTTCTATTCTTCATTCTTCTTCTTCTATTCTTCATTGTTCTTCCTCCCTTGTCTTATTCTTCTTCCAATGTCTTTCCTTGAAGTTGCGATTCAACAACATTGACTATTTGTGAGTTCTGCATTGGGAGCTGACCAGGATCATGGCAATTTGATGTCGAAGGGAGAGCTTACCTTCTGGTTAAGGTGATTGAACCGCCCTAAC